AAATTATACTATATTCCAAATAATGACACTCATTTTTATTCCAACATTAAAAATATTCTATTTACCTCAGTAGGCAACCAAAGATTGATGTTAACAGTGGATACTTAAACAGTGGTTAGGCTTCGGGGGACTGTCCTTTCTACCACACGTAAGTGAACATACATATATATGTACATATATATATACACACATATATATATACACAAATGCAATCAAATATATTTCTATCGTATTTAGATTTTTTATTATTATAAAAAGAAAACCTATTATCACATACAGCCAAACAGGGCTGGCACAGTTATGTTGAAAGCTGAAGTCTGCTGACACATGTCCCTGCTATCATCATTCTTACTTTGCTTGTACAAGACACACAAGAAAACCAGTCTTCCTATTTTATACCTACACTTTATATATACTCAGTGAGTGGACTTGTCAAGTCTGTCTATATCAGAAGCCAGAGATAATCTAAAATATGAACATCTTTAAGAAGCAGCCACATATTCGAAGAAAATGAAGATGAAAATATGAGGTAATTATTAACTCCAGGAAAACAAAAGTTATTCCAGATAAGACTGTAACCATAGTGTACTGGTTGACTCAACAGTGAATAATATTTACATAGGCAAGATTTTATAAATACTCTATCTGGATTTAACCAAAAATTATAAATTAACTACACTGAGAAGATTAGAGAGAAAGGGGAGATGTAATACAAAGAGCTAAATTCCTTATCTACTACAAAGAGTTAATAAAGTGTAACTAAAACTTATGAGTCACTGAATAGCATAATATAATTGTTCCTCAGTATCCAGGTGTGACCCCTTCCCCCCAGGATAACAATTTCAGATGCTCAAGCCCTTAATATAAAATGGTGTAACATTTACATATAACCTACAAATATCCTCCCATACACTTTAAATCACCTCCAGATTACTTACAATAACGAATATAATATAAATGCAATGTAAACACTTGTTATGCTGTATTTTTTTTAATTTGTATTATTTTTATTGTTGTATTTTTTTTTTAATTCAAGTACTTTTGATCCATAGTTGGTTGAATCCATGGATGCAAAACCCATGGATACAAAGGGCTAACTGTATACACATTATTTAGCAATATGAACATAAGTACTAGAAAAAACAGCTGAAGGAATAATTGCCTTTGGGAACTGATGTTAAGGGAGGCTTAGGTTTAGGGACAAGGGCAGAACTGGGCCTGACGCAGTGGCTCATGCCTGTGATCCTAGCCCTCTGGGAGGCCGAGGAGGGAGGGTCACTTGAGCTCTGGAGACCAGCTCTGGAGACCAGTCTGAGCAAGAGCAAGACCACGTCTCTACTAAAAATAGAAAGATTAG